ACAAAAAAGTCAACATTCAACGTTCGAAACCTTAGGGTCAATGCCGGCAACGCGTAACCCCTAGGTCAACCGCAGTCAACGCGTCGCGCAAAAGTCAAACATTCACGCTCAAACCCATAGGTCAACGCCGGTTCAACGCCGTACCTAGTGTCAACGCCAGTCAACGCGTTACGAATCAAAAGTCAACGTTTGGCGTTCGAAACCCTTAGGGTCAACGCGCGTCAACGCATTAACCCCTAGCGTCAACGCCAGTCAACGCGTTTTTGGCATATAAAATTGCTTATAGGTCGCCTTAGCCTCAGCTCGGCACAAACGGACGAACCAACGAGGCCGACGACATCCGACAAATCGCCACCGAAAACGGAATGAATCCACCGCGTCCAGAACTCAAGCTAACGAGTTAAGAATCAACGAGTCATCCAACGAAGAGGACTCGAACGAATCGATCGAATCAACGATCAGCTTCCGATCCGAACTCAGAAGCCGGACTTTACTGCCCCCCCAAATCAGGAATCGAACTTACTGCCAAATCAGATCAACAAATCAGAGTCTCAATTCAACCGAATCACAGAAAGAACCGGACCGGAAAACCCAAACACCCAGAGAGGCTCGCGAAACCAAGTCACTCGCAGGCGGTCACCGTAGCCACCAAGTGGCTCGGTGGCCGAGCACCAAGTATGGCTCGGCCGAGCCACCAAGGGCTCGGTGGCCATCCAACCTTGGGCGTGGCTCGGCCACCTCCGAGCCACCAAATGCGTGCTCGGAGCCGAGCCACCCTAGTGCTCGGCCACCTCGACGTGCTCGCCACCTCTTAGGTGCTCGCGCCACCTCTAGGGTGGCTCGCACCTCCGAGCCACCATCTTTGCTTGGCTCGAGCACCGAGCACCTCCTTGGTGGCTCGGGCGGGCCACCAATGTGGCTCGGCCACCACTCGACAGCACAAGAGGTGGGCTCGGTGGCCGACCACCTGCTGGTGGCCTCGGTGGCCGAGCCCACCCAAGGCTGGCGGCAGGCCGCCACCTCGAGGTGGCCGACAGTGTGCGACGCGTGCCGACATTTCTCTTGTTCGCGGCACTGTCCTCGAGAGCCTATAAAATAGCGCCTAGATGAATGTCTTTCTCGTCGAACTTCAAGAGCGAAACTCCTGCCGGATTGCAGAGTGAACTCGCGAGCTTCTGAAGACCTGCAGAGACTTGCACATTCGGATCTGAGCTCGGGCGACAAATCCACTGTCAGAAAAAGGATCTCGAGAGGAAAAAGAACAGATCTGAGAATTCACACGAGACCACACTCCAGATTCTAAGCTTGTCTTAGATCTCGAATCGAGCGATTAGTTCCCTGCGTGGACTAATCCCTCGCCGGCCTATTATTCCCTTCGTGAATAATACCCGTATAATCGTGTAGATCCGACCGGATCCTAGATCGCCCGGCGTCCACGGATTAACCCGCCCCCACGGCCGCAGCAAAGAACCCACCAAAGCGACCGAAAGCACCGCAAAACAGTGAGCTTCGCGATTTGTTCACAAGAGGAAAGTGTAATCTTATTTTTTTCTTTGATTTAGTTGTAACCGGATTCTAAAAGACCGGATCTTGTAACAAGATGACAATTATCTCATTAATGAAGAAGCTACAGTTTTCCCCTGCCGAACAATCTGGCACCACAGTGGGAAGCCGTTACGATGCTCGCCAACGAGATCGATGCGTCGCACAGACATCTCCGCGATCGCCAATCCCGGGTCCGTGCGAGGAGGTCGAGTACGAGGTCGACAAGCAAGTGCGAGGAGCTAACGTGTCCTCTCCGGATCTACCTCCCCCGCAAAGTCCAGAAGTTCTCCTTCGGCGAGAGAAAGCTCAAGTGGTTGGAAGCTGCCTCGGGAAACCCGACGAACTCTCAACCCAATGACGCCGAAGTTGCCGCTTCAAATGAATTTCCATCCGACCTCCAATCAAGTCAAACCCAACTGCCCGCCAACGCCTCCACTGTTCAGGGCGTTGTCGACTCCTCTCAAAGAGAGCCCGCCAGAGGCGTCGGTCAACGCGTTGCGCCGGAACTCGCTAAGCGATGGAGTCTTACGGACGGATTTCACTACCACGCGGAGTTGAAGACAAGGGCAAAAACAGCCTCAACCACCAATGAACGGCGACTCTCCAAGCCGCCAGAAGAAAGAATGTGTCCGCGTCACAACGGAACCGTTCGACGCTCGAGCGAGGCGTATTCGCAAGCGCTCGCGCCAGATGTCACGCGCGAGGCACGGCTCAAAGCCTCGAGAAGCCCGCTAGAAAAGCTGCAAAAAGGACGGTGGCAGAAGAAGCCACCACTGTAGCCGCCGTATAAAATGCCTATAGGTCCCACCAAAGACAGCGCGATGACGTTTAAAATTTCGACAAACGCGACCATCGTGGCCGACGTATCCAACCACTACCGTTATCCCCGCTATCACGCCGAAACGCCAAACCATACTCAACGGACCAGATAACGACGCGACGAAGCCAAACAAATTCGACCAAGCATCTGGAACGCATTGCCACGCGGCTACTGCGCATCGACACCAACGTTTTCGGGGAATCACCGAGTCATCTAAACAAGAACGAACTCGGCTGATATGACGATCGAATCAAGATCGTTTCCCGATCCGAATCTCAGAATGGACTTACTAGCCTAATCAGCGAATCGCGATCAACAAATCGAATCCGAACAAGTCAACGCACCGCAACCGAATCCAAGCTCCAAATTCAACAATCAAATCGCCCGAACTCCCGAACGACTGAACCCGAACGACGGAAACGAAAGAAAAAAACGCGTAAAACCCGCCCAAGGGGCTCGCAAAGCGCAGCACCCACAGTGGTCCAGGCGAGCGCACCTGTTAGGTGGCTCGCCAGCGGCCGAGCCACCTGTGGGTGGCTCGGCCAGGGCCGAGCCACCCACAGGTGGCCTCGGCAAAAGCCGAGCCACCTGCAGGTGCTCGGCCAGGGGCGACACCTGTGGTGGCCGGCCAGAGCCGCAGCCACCTGCAGGTGGCTCGCAAAGCAGCCACCTGTGGGTGGCTCGGAGGGCGAGCAACCACAGGTCGGCTCGCCAAGGAGCCGAGCCCACCCACAGGGGCTAAGCTCAGAACTGTGCAAATGCACAGTTCTGCGGAGTGCTATAAATAGGCCAAGGCATTCTTCATGTCATTTCAGAGGTTGGATTTTGGGAGTCGAAGCTTCCGTAATTGGAATCTGAAGATCGAAAAAAGATTGGCAGCTTTAGAAGATTGAAGACTTGGACTTGAGATCCGGTTCTCGGCGATCATCCACGCCCAAACAACGCAAGCGTTCGAGGAGCGGACCGGATCTGAGGATCTACACAGTTTCCTCCGGATCGTAAGCTTGGTTCTTAGACTCCGAAAGAGTCTCGATTCGCGTTGGTCAGATTTCGCACACTTGGGCTACGGTATTTCCTTGTGATTAGTACCCCACTCCGGCTATTATTTCCTTCTTTCTTTTTTCGTGAGGATAATACCCGTCATATCGTGTAGATCCGACCGGATCGAGATCACGCGTAGTCCCCGGCAAATAAAACCCCGGCGCAGGCAAAGAAGCCCACACAAAGCGATGTGACCGCAAAAGCAGGAGCTCGCGATATCGTTCGACCATAAAAGAAATAAATTGTTAAATAATCTTTCTTTTTTTGTATTTATTTTCATTAGTACGGATCTTTATAAAAGCCGCGATCTTTTAACGCATAAAGTGTTAACTACGATGCAATATATCAATGAAGAAGACACATTTTTCCCGGCGAACAATCTGCGAACCACAGTGGGACCACCGAGCTCGCGACGAAGATCCGTTGCGTCGCACCCGGCATCCGATCCCGCGTCGAGGAGGAGGTCGCACGTCGAATTCGCCAAACAATTTCGAGCGTACCTGTCGTCCATCGCCCAGGATCTACTCTCCCGCAAGTCCAAGTCTCCAATCTCGTCTCCAAAGGAAACTTCGTTGGAGCAAGGAAGTTGAAGCTGCCAACGAAGATCTCGGCCCTGTTGATGCCCGAACTGATTGGGTGAGATCTCCCCAATGTTCCAACCAGGTCGATCGTGCTCGCCCATTCCGTCGTTGCGAAGGTAGTGACTCTCTCGAAGAGAGCCGCCAAAGGCACGGCAGACGCCTTGCCGAACACAATTCGTAAAGGCCATGCGAATCTGTTGACGCGTGTTCGGCTACAAGACGGATGCTGAAGAACAGAACAAGGCAAGCAGCCTCAACAACCGCACGAATGGCGCCTCTTCCAAGTCGCAACAACAGAATGTGGTTCGCGCACGGAAGCGCGATCAACGCTGGAGCGAGCCATTCGTAAGCGCCGCGGCACTATCAGCGCAGGCACGGGCCCTCAAATTGCAAAGAAGCCCGGTTAGAAGACTGCAGAGAGGAGTGGCAAAGAAACCGCTCCCAACCCCCAAGTATGGAGTCGAAAATGAAACGTGCGATTCAGGTTAAGCACAATCGTTACAGCTTCAAAGACGAGTCACCTCCCGAACCATCGCCGAGAAGAGGCAATTCTTAGGAGCGCCTTGCTCCAATCGCCGACGGGAAAAAAAAATAGTGGGTGAGAGGAGGAAAGAAAAAAACTGGAAGAAAAAAACAGCAAAATCACGGCCAATCCCGGCGAGGGGTACCAAGCAAGAGTTCATAACCGGCTTGCGGCCCATATGATAACGAAATGCCGAACGAGCCGAACATGACTGTTCAGGGTCGATGTCACTGTTCAGGCAATGACAAGATTCACGACACCAAAGCGCGACTACTTTTACGCATCGAGAGTTCGCGGACGAGGCTCCCGCTTGCAGAATTCAACAGCCCACAAAAGCGGGCGGTTCGAGGGGGGAGATGTGATCTCCTGGGAAGCCCAGAAGATAGGCAATCTTGCCCCCAGTAAGTAAATGTTGTCGTCGGGGGAGTGATGATAAGCTTGGGGTAGTAACCGTGTAGGGAGTGAGTCGAGGGCCCCCCCCCTTGTGGACCTAAAGCACCGCGTGATAGGACGGTTTACGTGCTGAGTAAACAAGGAGGTGCATGGAACGAGCTATGGCGACTATGAGTGCTGCATGGAATTACGAACCAAATCATAGAGAAGAAATAAGGGAGGGAAGGTGGTTAGGACCTCAAGAAAAGTGCGAATCGCACAGAAGGATAGAGAGCCTCAATAGGGATGGCGCCCCGATAGGAACTTCCAAACATCATGTCGGGCGTATAGGGAAGTTAAGGTGGCTCTTCTCAGGTAGTGGGTTCTAATTCACTAAAGAACGCGTCACCGACTAAAGGAATTGTCGGTGTGTTCGAAAGAGGACTCAGCACTAAACCCAGATGCCAAGAGTCCTAAGCGCTTCCAATCGGGGGTGACGCCACGTAAAGTCGGGGTCCGCAGAAGCGGAACGTGATGAACAGAGATCCGAGGGTCCTATACGTGGGTCAAAGCGAAGTCCTCTTCCATGTTG